AATGTTTGCTACCATGTGTAGCGCCATGGATGCCAGCAGTCTCATTCCTGTTCAGGCTAGCCTAACCATCATGTTCCATGACCCTGCTGATCAACCAGGCCAGTGGATTCAGACCCATTGGCCTCTTTTTCTCGATTTACCAGTTGTGAAATGAAAAGAGCGGGTATTACGCGATGTCTTGGGAGGAGCAGACCAGTATAATGTGTTTTGCCGTGGGGAAGTTTAGCTCCTCCACTGATGTGGTTTGGAGGCACGCTGCCCGATCGGAGACAACGATGAACCAAGGCTTTGCGTCGACCACTCGCCTGTGGGGTCTCGACATATGTTTTGGAACCGTCAAGCTCGACCTACGGCTTGCCAGATGCAGCGAGCACGGTTTTGACCCCACCATTTCGCACACGGTGATCTCCATGATCGCCAAGACAGGTTCGTCAGCTTAGGCGGGTTGGTTATGGGACCGAAATTTGCCATGATAGGAGTGAGCGCTGGATGCCCGCTCGCCACGACGATGGTTAAGATTATTAGCACTGACCCGCTTGACCGTGCCAATCTTCCACCTTCTGTGCCGCCCGGCGCCTACACAGACGACTACGGACTAGCCTCCTCAGGCAAGCCATCCAATGTCGTGTATGACCTCGTGCTGGCAGCACAGCAGCTTTGAGATACCATAGTCGGCGAGCTTGGTGACAGCATTTCTGAAGACAAGGCCAACCTTGCTGCCTCTCACAATTGCGTGGCCATGGCGCTGCGCGAGAAGCTCGGCGCACTTGCAGGCAGGGCAGTTGTTTCTCTGGGATTGATCACACGTAGGGAAGGCTCCGAAGGGCCACCGAGTGCTCTAAAGACGTTCGGCTGCGAACGGTTCACCGCAAGGTCAAAACACGTAAACTGCACACGATACGACAGGCCTGACGACGACACACCGGGAAGCTGCTTATTCTGAGCCCCCGGCCAGAATTTTGACATGGATGTTAAGTCCATAGAACCTAGCCTCAAACCAGCCACAGGGTATTGCCAAGCGTGCTTACGGTAGGCGTATCAGGCAGGAGTCGAGATCCCGCCCCTTGACCTCCGCCCTGATGTTAGACAAGGACCTCACCCACGATGGCCCCAGCGCGCCCATCCTCATGTACTCCAGACAGGATTGGGGGGATCCATATGAGAACCTTGGAAGGAGTTCAGAGATGCGTGGCCATCTGTGCTTCCTAGACCAGGACCCGACAACTGGTCGGAAGTCGAGGGTCCCATCTCTACCATGACGCTCAGCCTTGCCAGGATAGGCTGGTCTGTGCCCAGTTTCACTGTCATGGTTGACCAGCTCGCTACCACGCTGGCCCTCACTCTCATGTCGCCCACCATGCTCGAGAGGCGCCTCAGGCTGGCCATCATTCTCTTGCATGGGAAGAGATTATGCGCTAAGCTAAGCTGCCCAGCCTGCCCCAGCCAACCAGGATCTGTCATGAGCAGTCCAGGAAGTTCACCGCTTACCAGAAAAGGATGGAATCTAAGGCATGGGGCATGCAGTGCAGCTTGGTGCAGAAGCCGAGCAGCAGCAGCAGCAGCAAGATCCCAGCTCGAGAACCTTGCCTGCCAACTGGGGTGTGGAGCGCCCGGCAGCGTGATGCATTGCGCTTCGTCGGAGGAGGGAGACACGCTCGGGAAGCGGACGACCTTGCGCCCTCCTGCGGACCTTCTCTGAGGGCGATGGCCCAGAGTACCTGCTGCTTATTCGTGGGCTGTTTTTATGTGAACCCAGGACATCAACCATTCTAGACCTGCTAGCCAAATCGACGGGCCCGAATCCGGCCTCAGGGCTGAGTGGCCTGAAGGTCCTTGATGCGACTCGACGGCCCTGGAGGGCCGGTTGTATGTGGATGGTTTATGTCTCACTCAGATTGGTCCAGAAAACTCCGGGGCTGGGTGGTATGTTCGTTCCGTCTCCGAAGAGACGGGGCTTGTTCAGTGTACCCCGAGTTCCTTAATAAGCGTCGGGGGGGGGGTCATCCCCGCAGGCAGCCCCGCATCGACCCCCGTCGCGGGCAGCCACCGCGCGCCGAAGGCGCTCCGACCCCCGTGGCGGCGAGACGACGAGGCGAGGTTGACCCCCGCCGGGGGGGTACCCCCCCACGCTTGGTAAGAAGCCCAGAGTATTCTGTGGGGCCCCTCCTCGCCCATGCGCCGCGGACGTCACAGGCTTCCGAGCCTGCGGCCTCCTGCACGGCCGCTCTGTGTGGCAGAAGTTATGCCACCAAGTGCAGTGATTGTGTACACGTCTTGCGCCAGGCCAAGGAGTGCGTCGAAGCCAAGCTCTCGTTCTCTCTGGCCATATGCCGGATTCGTGCTCCGAGCTCTGGGTCACAGAACGGGGACGGTCCTGAAGGTCGAAGGCCATGTGGCCGACAATCCTTGCCTCACGCCAGAGCAGCTTGAACATGCGTATGGCAACGACCTTGCTGACAAGGCGGCAATGGCCGCTGTTCTGCGGCACCCGCAGCCATGGCCCAACGAGGTTGAGCAATTTGCCCGTGTACTGCGTGTCTCGCGTTGCCGCGTGCAAGCTTTTTGCCCAAATGATGCCTCTTTGACCCAAGTTGGACCTCACGAGAGTTCCCCACTCCGCTCCGAGACCTCCCCCTCCGCCCCCTCACGACTGGCATTGGGAAAGAACATGTCAGCCCGGATCAGCGTGCATCCGTGCAGCCAGAGGGTCCTGGAAGCTGGAGCCTGGTCGTTGCAAAGATGCGACGACGATCAAAGGCATCTCAAGCCAGACTTTGAAAGATCTCGATCATAGGCTTGTGTACTCCGACACTAACAACGGTGAACATATTTCAGTAATTTGCGCCAGATCTTGCCACTACACGTCTGGCGGGCAAATCGGGAGACTCCGTGAAATGTGCTCGGGACCCCTGACTTCAACACCGACTGTTGTCCAAAACCAATAGCAGCCGCTGTTGGGCAGGCGGCCCTGTCTCAAACGGATAATACCTGTGGTGACGCCGACAGCGAGCCCTGTTCAAACATGCTCACACTGAAAAGGAGCGGCTGTCAGTCTTGGTCTTCGTACCGATCGAACCTCGCCGCGGACACACCGACAACTAGTCCTGTTCAAACTGAAACGTAGCTGCTGTCGGTATTCGTACCCATCGAGCCTCGAACCTCGAAAGCGCCCCGAAAATCGACGGCGAATCTGGGGGGAAGCGAGAAGGGGCGGGCCTTCTCAGAAGGCTCGGAAGTCCCCCGGCCGTCTGAGAAGTTTCCTGAGCCTTCCCCGAAAGACGCAGAAAGCTTCTCTGAAGGCCAGAGAGCTTCTGAGAAGCCCCGCCTCCCTCCGAGAAGGCCTCGCTTCCCCGACTCGCTCGCCGCCGAAGCTGGCATGCAACTGCTGTCGGTCTTCGTACCGATCGAGCCTCGAATCTCGAGAGCGTCCCGAAACTGACCCCCCGACCTCATCAGCAGGGGTGGGACCGGGTCCTGAGGGAAACGGGTCCTGGAGGAGGAGGAGGAGGAGGAGGAGGAGGAGGAGGAGGAGGAGGAGGAAAGGGAGCAGGAGGAGGAGGAAGAGGAGGAGTAAAAGGAGGAGAAGGAGGAGAGGAACTTTCCCCCAGGACGAGATCTTCCTCCCGAGCCGTTCTCTCACAGCCCAGAGGGCCAGTGACAACTGGCGAAACACCTCAGGACCTCAGGGGAGGAGGAGGAGGAGGACGAGGAGGAGGAGGACCAGTAAACCCAAGAGTCATCAACGATGTTGGGATAAACCCTCCCTCCAAGCTCCCTCTTCATGGGCCCCCTACAAGGATTCATTTCCACTGAATGATCTGCCTCGTCGAAGACAACCGCTTGAAGCCGCTGAAGCATGCCAAACACATGATTCTCGGGACTCAAACGCCACAAATCAACCTGACTGTTGCGTCTTCACGCTCCGGAGTCGTACCAGAACGCCATTTCTGGGACTTCAACACCGCGAACCAACTTAACTGTTGCGCCCTCACATTCACCAATCTTTCCCGCAAAAATCTGGCACGTTGGCCGTGGGAACCCGTGAAAGTCTTGCAATGATTGAACAAGAATGTGCGCGGCGCCCAGGCGAGAACCACATCTTGAAAAAGAGCCGCCTTCAACCCGTGAAAATCGAACACAATGTTAAGACGAGTGTGCGCGGCGCTAAGGCGGGAGGAGCCACACTTTGAAAACGACCCCCCTCAATCTGGCAACTCTTGCAATTGTTCAAAACGAATGCACGCGGGGCTAAGGCGAGAGCCTCATGTTGGAAACGATCCGCTCTCCATCTGTGAAGCTGCTGACAACTTTTAAGCTGCAAGGTCATACATAGGGAGGAAGTCTCAGGCGAAACGCTTGGTCCGCTCTTTCGACCAGCCTCGGGGTAGGAGGAAGAGGAGGAGGAGGAGGCGGAGGAGGAGGAGGGGAAGGGGGCAGGAGGAGGAAGATGAGGCGGAAAGGCGGAGGAGGAGACGGAGGAGGGGGAAGGAGGAGGAGGAGGCGGAGGAGGAGGAGGAGGAGGAGGGGGAGGAGGAAGAGGAGGATGAGAAGGCCGCCTTCCCTCAGGACCCGCTTCCCCCATGGCGATCCGCACCGATCGAGCCTCGAACCTCGAGAGCGCCCCGAGACGGACCCCACGACCTCCTCGCCGTTGCTCGGGCGTCCGCTCCCCGTGCGGTGGTTTGATCTCGTGCCTTTGTTCTTCGCACGAGGATCTCAAGATGCTCCTCGACGGTGCTCGCCGAGGAAAAAAAGTGCACACGCCCGAGCGTTAGGTCGGGCATCTCCCCCTACAGGCGGAAGTCGGACGAAAAATAAGCAATAGCCAGACAAGATTCAAGACATATTCAAAATAGTCAAAAATCGCCCCCAGAATATACGTATTCTGACTGCTCTCGAATATTCCTCCCGTTGAGGAGCATGCCCGACTTAAGCCGAGCGACGCCAGGCCTCAGCTCGCAGGGTCGCGTGGGCGGAGGCGGGCCCGCACGGCGCGCGTCCTCGTGCCACTCGCTGCTGCGGATGCGGCAGATGGTGCAGTGGGCGAACTCCTCGGAGGGGCCGCGGGAGGATGCTGAGAATCGTTGAAGCCATCCCCATCCCCAGAGGCGTGGCCTGGGCCCCTCTGGCCGATGTACCCCCCTAGATGGGGATATAGGTCGTTCCCTTCGGGCTTCGATGGGTGTATCCCCTACTGGTGGGGGCCTCAAAGGGGATGGGGATGGGGACGGGGATGGGTTAAACGATACCGAGATGCGGCAGGGCTCGCCCTAAACTGAGACGAAGCCAAGACGAGGATGAGGACACCAGGCAGCACAGCCTGCCCGGGACCAGCGTGGCGGCATGCAGGGCTTCGGCCAGAGGACCTGCAGGAATGCCAGTGATCCATGTCCTGTGTCAAAGTTGCGCGCACGTGTTTTTGTTGCGCTTTATGCCGACTGCAAAGGCATTGTCGGGTGAGGATGAATCGAGAATCTCGGGGAATCCGAACGGACATTTCGAGCCCTCGGCCCCGAGAAGCGCCCAGGAGGCCCTAAGAGGTTCCCCGGAGGCCCCAAGGAGCCCACAAGAGACCCCGAGGACATCCGAAAAGGCTCCCAAGAGGCCCCCAAGAGGCTCCCAAGAAGCATCCCTGAGGACTCGGGCCCACGTCAGCGTCGTCGTCGTCGCAACCGCCACCACCGCCGTCGTCGTCGACGTCCCCCTTCAGGGTCGGCGGTACTGGCCGTAAGGCCTGCGCGATCGCCAAGATCCAGCGGTCCTTGGGGATGTCTCGGGCGCGCGGCCATTCTCAGAGCGCTCCAGAACGCTCCGAGAGCGTTCCGGGACGCCCTGGAGCAGATGTGTCCTCGTCCCAGCCCCGCCCTGTTTTTCCTCGTTCTGTCTTCAGTCCGCCTTCTGCTGCAAAACGAGATCGGAGCGACAACGGGCCACCGAGATCGCCCAAGACAGCGTCAAGGTCGACCCCTGGGATGCGGGATGAACCCAGCTCGAGCATCGGCCGTCGAAAGACGCCCAGACCTTTGACACATCGGCTACACGCAAGAGTGACCCTAGGCAAGAATGACCTCTAGTGCGCGGACTAGGGGTGAGCGAGGTGGCCAATTCCAAAGTGCAAGCAGCCACTATCGCATCGCGCTCAACGATCGGGGGAACCACGGTGAGCCCGCACAAAAGGTCACTCCGGTGGAAGGTCACTCTTACGTGCAGTTGAACATATCATTCAAGAGCATGAGTCCATCCGCCGGCCAGGCCGCACAGAACTTCCCAGGGTGCCACCCCCAGGATGCACAAGAGCACCCAACAAGCACGAAGAAAATCAGGGCACCCTCCCCGAACCGACCTCGATCATATACCTAGGTCGGGCGTGTCCTCCTGCAATGTCGGACTTTCAGGGGGCGAAAACCTAAACCTAGTCCGCAAATATTCAAACACAGTCGAAAAAAATAGAAGCATCGTCCCCAGACTATTTTTGGACTACCTTCGAATATGCCTCCTGTAGGGGGACAGGCCCGGCTTCATCTGATTCGGGCGTTGGCAGAAATGGGTTTAATGGAACCTGGTTTAATGATCTGTACCAGGGGCGCCCCCCCGTCCCATTTCCACCCGAAAAAAACACCAGCTACGGCAAACCTGGTTTAGCGATTCTGGCCAATTCAACGGCTCTGGGGCCCTACCACTAACCGGGTCCCTTTACCTGGGGTCCTGGCCATACCCGACTGATACCTCGGTCCGACCGCACATCGAATCGGCACAGGTCGGCCACCAGGATCGGCGGTCGCCGGCCCGAGCCGAGGCAGACACGAGGAGCTCGGAATCAAAGCCGGCGTGCCGCTTCCCCCCTTGGGGGGCCGCGGGAGGATGCGAAATCAGGATCGGAAAAACACGAACACAAATAAACGTCCATTCCCAGGGAGAGATGGAACATATGGGAGGTGGAGGGGAAGGCGAACATCCAGAGCATATGGCAAAGATTGGGAGTCCTGGGATTTGTGTCTGCTTGTTTGTGTCCCTGGGCCCCTTCAGTGATGATGGGAGGGATCGTCTTCTAAAGTGCGCTTCGCTGGTGCAGAATCACCCCCCGCTCTGGTTCCGCCCTCGCCCCTCTCAACAGTCCCCCCCTCCTCGCTGGAACCGCCCCTCTCCCCTGCCTCACTCGCCGGCGAGAACCCCGTCCCCCTCCTCTCACCCCCCGCCCCTGGATTGGAGAGCGTCTGTTTTCTATGGTGAATTATGAGCCACGTCTGCATCGCAGAGCGAGGGGGGGGCAGGGAAGGGGCATGCCACTCTTTGACAGAAGCTTTGCCTCTACTTGCGGCCGCCGCGACCGACGCGGCGACCTCAGAGGTCTGGTTCGCAAGCGAGCCCAGAATCAAACCCATAAGCCATATCGACGATCGACATGAATCGGATCGGGGGAAGTCGGCAGCCGAGTCGCGAGAAGTCGAATCGGCGAAAATCGGCAGGCCAGCAGGGCTCCGTTTGGACATCGGAGCCCAGGTCGGAATCCAAACTCGGATCGAATTGGAAACCATCAAAATCGAATCGAATCGACTCGGAGGCGTCGATATGGTCGGCGACTCCAAGGGGTGTGGTTTGCAAAGGGTGCGGTTTGCAACCGGCGCCCTGAGGGGCGCCCTGGGGGGCGGACGGGGACCTCGACAGAAACCTCCGCCGTGTCCCAAGGATGCCCGACGAGGACAGTGACGTGCACCCCAGCCCCCAACGGCGCCGATCGCAAACCACCACGCCCTTTGTAGGGCCGTGGTCGGATGCCACGAAACGAGAGACTTCCCCGTCGTCGCTTGCTGGCGTCAGGGCGGGGGAGGGGCGGGCGGGAGCTCGGGGGTGGTGGTGAAGTAACCCCCTCGCCGTCTTGAAAGGGGGGGCAGTGAGAAAGACAGGGATTGTGTTGGGAGGAGGATGGGACGATCCCAGGCCTGACAAAAACACGACGAGGGGCGCTTTCGCTATTTTCGGCCTCCAGGGGCCCTCACCGGGCCTCGAGACAGTCATAGAACGACGCATGATGAAAAACCGGTCCCATTCCACACACGCACACACACACACACACACGCACACACGCACACACGCACACACACACAGACACACACACACACACACGCACACGCACACACACACACACACGCACACACACATACACACATACGTATATATATACACACACACACACCCGTAGTCTCGGAGGGGGGCCGATTCAGACAATGGCGGCGCTCCCACCCGGCCAAAACTCCGACCGAGAACCGTCCTCGAGCGCGACGCCCAGTGCTGGCGCACTGCATGGGGCCACCCGGGGGCCCCAGCGTGCCCGCACCAGAGGCCACTCCGGCGAAGGGTCACTCTTACAGCGGGGGCCTGACCACAAGAAACCCTCCACAAGAGCCCCCACCCCGAGACCCCAGGACGTCCATCGGTTTCTGGTGTGGGGAAGTCACGCTTGCCATCGCAACACCATCGAAGCCCAAGAAGCCCAGGGCACCCTGGAGGCGAGCAGGGTGCTTCTAGGCATCGGTCTCCACTGGAAGCCGGACCACAACGATCGGAAGAAATCGGATCGACGGAAGTCGGCAGCCGAGTCGGGACCTCCTTATCATCCTCCTCCTCGTCCTCCTCCTCCTCTTCCTTGTCGTCCTCGTCCTCCTCCTCCTCCTCCTCCTCCTCCTCCCCTCCTCCTCCCACTTAGGCTGGTAGGACTCCGTCGGGAGATTGAAGCCCAGACCGGAAGCCGAACTCGGATCCGCTGCACGTGCAGCCCAACCCGAAACCCCTCCCGAGTTCCACCTGCTGCCCCGGCTGCCGAGGCGGACCCCGGCCTTTGTCGGGGAGAAGCCTCGCCCGAACCGGGGTCTGCCGGATAGGTGCCCCTGGCCCAAGAAGGGCCCCCAGCGTTTTGCCCCCACATCCTCCTCGTCCTCGTTCTCGTCTTCCTCCTCCTCCTCCCTCAGCTTTTCGCTCGATTTGGTGGAGCCCCTGGGGCCCCCTGAGCCAGGGCCTGCCAGATGGCAGGAGAGCCCAGAATCGAGTCGACAAGCCGGATTGGCGATCGAAAGGAATCGGATCGACAGAAGTCGGCAGACGTTCTTCCTCCTTCGAGGGGACGAGGAGGAAGACGAAGACGACGAGGAGAACGAGGCAGCAAGTCCGGCTGCCTTCTTCGGCCGAGGGCCCGAGCGGCCGCCGCGGGCACCGCGCTGGGGCACCCGGCGCGCCGCTCCTGCAGGAACTCGCCGAGCGTCATGAAGAACACGCCGGGCCTGCCGCCCTGCGGCGCAGGGAGGGCCCGGCGGCTGCCGCTGCCGCGGGCCCTCCTCCTCCTCCTGCTCCTGCTCCTCCTCCTCTTCGATCCTCCTCCTCCTCCTCCTCCTCCTCCTCCTCTTCGACCCTCCTCCTGCTCCTCCTCTTCCTCCTCCTCCTCCTCCTCCTCCTCCTCCTCCTCTTCGATCCTCCTCCTCCTCCTCCTCCTCCTCCTCCTCCTCCTCCTCCTCCTCCTCCTACTCCTACTCCTACTCCTCTCCTCCTTCTCTACGATCCTCCTCCTCCTCTACGATCCTCCTCCTCTTCCTCCTCCTCCTCCTCCTCCTCTTCCTCCTCCTCCTCCTCTTCGATCCTCCTCCTCCCCATCATTTTCCTCTTCCTCTTGCTCCTCCTCCTCCTCCTCCTCCTCCTCCTCATGCTCCTCCTCCATCTCCCTCATTCTAAGTGCCGGCTGCCTGGTGCACGCACCTCCTCCTCTCCCCCCTCCCCCTCCTCCTCCTCCTCCTCCTCCCTCCTCCTCCCTCCTCCTCCTCCTCCTCCTCCTCATCCCCCTCCTCCTCCTCCTCCTCCTCCTCCTCCTCCTCCTCTTCCTCCTTGATCCTCCTCCTCCTCCTCCTCCTCCTCCTACTCCTCCTCCTCCTCCTCCTGTGTGTTGGGCGCTCGTCTTGAATATGACTGCGGCACCCCTGAACGCTCTCGGCGGGGCGCAGCTGCGGGAGGGAGCACCCCGAGACCGACCAGCGGAGGGCCGCCGAAAGCCGACTGAAAACGGCCCAAGCCCTGGAACTTGGAACCTCGAGCCTCGAATCTGGACGCCAGGAATGGCCACGGCCGGACCTGGGCGATGCAGGGGGGAAGAGTGGACGCACGATGGGGGAGGAAGGGAGGGACTCGCGACGTGGCGAGGACCGGGGGGCGAGGCCAGGAGGGCAAGAGGAAGAGGCCCCCAACAGAAAACAAGCTGGGCAGAGGAGAAGGAGGAGGAGGAGGAGGAGGAGGAGGAGGAGGAGGAGCAGGACGAGGAGGAGGAGGAGGAGGGACGCTTGAAACAAACAGTTGCCTCTCGACTGGGTCGCTGGCGTCGGCCTGGCGGCAGCGACGGCGGCGACGACCCCGGGCCGGCGGCTCAGAGAGGCAGTCGCAAGGTGCGGATGCGGAAGCAGACAGCAGAAACCTGTTGTACAGTCGGACCCAGGCCAGAATCACCTCCCCCAAGCACGTGCGGCCCTCCATCGCCATGAGAAACAACACATCCTAGGGTACCCTCGCAAGGATGCACAAGAAGACTCAACAAACACGAAGAACTTTCGCCGACAGCCCCACATCGACCCCCGTCGCGGGCAGCCACCGCGCGCCGAAGGCGCTCCGATCCCCGTCGCGTCGCGACGAGGAGGCGAGGTTCACCCCCGTCGTGGGGGGGCCCCCCCACGCTTATCAAGGAACCCGGAGCGCCCCCCCCAGGAGGCACAAGAGCACTCCACAAACACGGGGAACATCAGTGCACCCTCCCCGAACCGACCTCGATCTTGTGCCTTGGTCCGACTGCAGTCGGCAGCGCCAGCGGGCGCGGGCGCGAAGGCTGGTGCCGGCGGGGCGCGAGGGGGGCGCGGGGCGCGAGGGGGGCGCGGGGCGCGCGGGCAGCAGGAGGAGGGGAGGGCAGCCGCGGAGGAGGGGAAGGAGGAGGAGGAGGAGCTGGCGGAGGAGCAGGAGGAGGAGGAGGAGAAGGAGGAGGAGGAGGAGGAGGAGAGGCTGGAATTCGGTTTCGGATTCGGAACGCTTACGAAGCAAGTGACATAACAAACTACTTGGGGATGAGACCTCTCACAAATCGCGAAAGATGCTCCCTCCTCTGAATGATCTGAAAGGGGCTTGCATGGGCTCGAGAGGCCTCGCAACCCGAAAAACCCGCGGCAATGCACGCGTACATGTGTGTACGTGTGTGTGTGTGAATGCACGTGTACGTGTGTACGCGTGTGTACGCGAATGTGTGTGTGTGTGTGTGTGTGTGTGCGTGTGTGTGTGTGTGTGTGTGCGTGTGTGTGTGTGTGTGTGTTTGTGTGTGCGTGCGTGTGTTTGCGTGTGTTTGCGTGCGTGTGTTTGCGTGCGTGCGTGCGTGCGTGCGTGCGTGCGTGCGTGCGTGCGTGCGTGCGTGCGTGCGTGCGCGCGTGCGTGCGTGCGTGCGTGCGTGCGTGCGTGCGTGCGTGCGTGCGTGCGTGTGTGTGTGTGTGTGTGTGTGTGTGTGTGTGTGTGTGTGTGTGTGTGTGTGTGTGTGGTGTGTGTGTGTGTGTGTGTGTGTGTGTGCGTGTCTCTGTGTGTGTGCGTGTGTGTGTGTGTGTGCGTGCGTGTGTTTGCGTGTGTTTGCGTGCGTGTGTTTGCGTGCGTGCGTGCGTGCTTGCGTGCGTGTGTGTGTGTGTGTTTGTGTGTGTGTGTGCGTGTAACTGTGTGTGTTTGTGTGTACGTGTGTACGTGCGTGTGTGTGTGTGTGTGTGTGGTGTGTGTGTGTGCGTGTGTGCCTGTGTGTACGTGTGTGTACGTGTGTGCGTGTGTGTGTGTGTGTCTGTGTGTGTGCGTGTCTGTGTGTGTGTGTGTGCGTGTGCGTGTTTGCGTGCGTGTGTTTGCGTGTGTTTGCGTGCGTGTGTTTGCGTGCGTGCGTGCGTGCGTGCGTGTGTGTGCGTGTGTGTGTGTTTGTGTGTGTGCGTGTAACTTTGTGTGTTTGTGTGTACGTGCGTACGTGCGTGTGTGTGTGTGTGTGTGTGTGTGCGTGTGTGCCTGTGTGTACGTGTGTGTACGTGTGTGTGCGTGTGTGTGCGTGTGTGTGTGTGTGTGTCTGTGTGTGTGTTTGTGCGTGTTTGTCATGTGGCCTGCCCTGTTCTCACTTCCTGATCCTCTCGGTCTGCCTCACCGGCCGTACTGCCGCGGTCCTGGGACCCGAAAGCGGCCTGCGGAGGCCGGGAAAGGCAACCAATACCAACAAAAAACCGCTCCGCAGCCAAAGCTCGACCCTGCCCGCCCTTCCTGCGGGGCTGGAACCAGTGCTGGGCCTCCTCAGGCTCCAGACGGCTCCAGGTTCTCCGTGCGTCTCTGAAGGGGCCCTGAGACACACCAAAAATACACACAAATAAAAAGGTTCCCCATATTTTCCCATATTTTCTGGGTTTTCGTCTTCCCGCCCAATTCCCATCCTGAGTGTCTGTGTGTTTTCTTCCCTCCTGAGTCTCCATGGGGGCGCGTATAGAGGTGGGGCACGGGCAGAGGGGGTGCCCGAGAGAAACGGATCCCAACGGTTCCTGGAGGAGGGAGGCGTGCGCATCCGGCTGGGCTCTCGTCCCCGGGCCCAACCTTGGAATGACCCACCCTCCTCTCGGCTACACTTAAGTCGGGCCTGTCCCCCTGCAGGGGGGATTTTCGACGAAAAAAAAAAATACCCCAAAAGTAGCAAAACAATTGTCCAACAATAGTCTGGGGACTATTCTCTGAATATTTGTTTACCTTTTTGGTGTATGTTTGGGGGGTATTTTTCATTTTTCGTCGAACATCCCCCTGTAGGGGGACGCGCCCGAAATACGGCTACACGCAGGAGTGGCCCTGGGCGCGCGCGACCTCTGGTGCGCAACTTTTTCGGGGGGCCGCGAGGGGGAGAACACTGGAGGCCTGGAAATAGGCACCAACACCAACACAGGGGTTTGCTTTCACAGGGGGAAGATGATCCTCGATTTCGGTGTTGGTGGTAATACTTCGGCCGAGATCGGGATCGGGATCTTCTTCCCTCGGTGGAGGCACACCGCCGAAATTGGTGTTGGTGTCAACCTCTGGTCCTGCGACGAACACCCCAACGCGCCAGCCGCTGCCATCGCAGCTCGTTCCGCGACTCGGGGAACCCCCGCGGGCCCGCACTGGAAAGCCACTCCAGCGAAGGGTCGCGCCTGCGTGCAGTCGATCTACGGCGCCCCGCTTCTCCTGCCCCGTCGTCCCCCTCCTCCACCACAGCCTCCTCATTTTCTTCCTCGTCCTCGTCCGTATCCTTGTCCTCGTCGTCTTTCTCCTCCTCCTCCTCCTGCTGCTCCTCCTCCTCCTCCTCCTGCTCCTCCTCCTCGTCCTCCTCATTCTCCTTCCCCTCGAAGCCCGGCCCCCGACGTCGTCATTTTTTCTGATGGCGTGACCCTCAGCAGCGTGGACCCCTGCCCGGGGACGGGTTTTTCGTCCCGATCCTCTTTTGTTGACGGCCCCAGGGCACGGCGAGGGCCCCGGGAGGCCGAGGATAGCGAGAGAAACCTCCCGCCGCGACTTTGCTTTTGCCACGCGAGGAGGCCTGGGCACGAGCTCCCGATGCTCTCGTGTGCACGCTGTCTTCCTCGGCGCTTCGACATTCGGCGGAAAGAGGGGGGGGAGGAGGGAGGGTCCGGCTCCCGACCTCTGCTTCACGCGACTGTTGGGGACCCGTGCGTTTCTGGGGGAGGCGCCACCCTCTTGGGAACAGGCGCCCAACACAGCCAAGATCTACTCCACGGAGGGGGGAGGGAGCGGTGGTGCGAGGGCCCGCGCCGACCGGCGACACAACGATTGGGGAAACGATCACCCTTCTCCTGCTCCTCGGAGCCGGCCTCCGGGTAGTCCAGCTGGCGGCGCAGTGGCCCAGTCCAGCTCCCGGCCGAGTCGCCCCAGGCGCCGTTCCACCTCTGCGACTTCCTCGGCCACGCGCACGCGTGAGGGGGGCTTCCCCGAGTGGGTCCCCCCGCTCGGGACGCCAAGGGGGACGGCGACGACGACGTCAACGAGGGCGCTCGGGATGAGGAGGGTGGAGGAGGACCAGACCAGTGTCTTTCTATCATGTTGTCTTCGCTTTCCCTCGCTTTGTCAACAATCCGCCTGTGCTGCAAAACGAAGTCGAAACGAAAACGGTCCACGAAATCGCTCAAACACCGTTTAGGTCGAGCTCTGCAACAGAAATCTTTGGACTCGGCGAGAGACAAAAATGAAGCCCGGCAAGCCTGGCAACACTTGAAGAAGAGAAAATGCTACAGACATAAACTGTTGGCGCTCTGAGTGGGTTTCTTGGATCTGCGCTGGACCCCCCCTCCCTGGCGCGCGAAGCGCTCCAGGGGCAGCGCTGGAGGCGCCGCCAGGGGGGGCCCAGCGCGGATCCAAGAAATCCGCGCGGAGCGCCCAAAGCTTATGTGTATGGCCTTTTCTTCTTCGCAGCACTGTCCCCGAGCCTTCCCCGAAGACGCTGAAGACCTCTCAGAAGGGGCGAGGGCTTCTGAGAAGTCCAGCCGCCTTCCGAGAAAGCCGGAGGAGGAGGAGGAGGAGGAGGAGGAGGAGGAGGAGGAGGAGGAGGAGGAGGAGGTGGAGCTTCTCCTTCTCACGTCCCTCCGGGCGCGCGCCGGCCAGAATTTGGTATTCGGGTCATCCCTCGGGTCTCCAGCGGCCGCTCGGGACGATCTGGCCTGCCCTCGGAACGCCCTCGGCGAGGCGCCGCTGCTGGCAAGCATGCCCGCGGCTGGAATACCGCCGAGAACCGACGAGGGCGCCCGCAAATCTCCAGCCTCGACCTTCGAACCCGACGCTTCTCCCCTGGCCCGCCGCCGAGAGCGAGGGGCGCGCCCCTGCTCCAATCGGCAAAGGCCGACACTTTCGGTCCACCCGCCCTCGCTCGCCGCCGAGCTCTTCGCAGCATGCCTTCGGCACTGGGTGCGCGGCCGCGCGCGCGTCCACGCGGGCGGTCGCAGCGCCCCGGCCTCCGCGGGGACGCCCGGCTGCCCCCGAGGAGGAGCCCGACTCTGGCCCGGACGCCCGCCGATATCCGACGCTCTGCGCCGGCGGCCCCGGAGGTCCCGACCGCTTCCCCTGGGGGGCAGCTTGTCGCCCCCGCGGCACTCCTGCTGGCCCCCAGGGCCGAGGCCGAGAAAGCGCGCCCATGCCGAAAGTATCGGACCGTCGCCCCCCTCGGCGGGGACACCTCGGCCTCCTGGGAGCCCCGCCCAGGTGCCGCCCCAAGAGGTCCCCAGGGGCCCCCCAGGGCAGCCCCGAGAGGGGCCCCAAGGGGTCCCCTAAGAGGCCCCCCAAAGAGGCCGCCACGAGGCCCTCCAGGGGCCTCCCAAAGAGAGACCCCCAAAAGCTTTCCAGCGAGGCCTCTTGTCCACGACACGGTCTGGCCAAAGGCCACTGATCGCTACATATAGGTCGGGCATGTCCTCCTACAGGCGGATTGTGGAAGAACACTTACAATAGCCCAAACCAGTCCAACCTGAATCAACAGAGCACGACAAGTCATCCCCAGACTATGTTTTAAAACTATTTGGGGACACTCCTCCTGTGGAGGGACATGCCCGACTTAACACTACACACAGCAACATGGGCCGGCGGAGTGAGCGAAGCGATTGAAGAATGGGGGCCCCGTGAGGGAATGCCCTCACAGAGACATGGAGGGGAGGGGGGGAGGAGGAGGAGGAGGAGGAGGAGGAGGAGGAGGAGGAGGAGGAGGAGAGGAGGAGGAGGAGGAGGAGGGGCAGGAGCAAGAGAGGAGGAGGAGGAGGAGGAGGAGGAGGAGGGTGGAGGAGGAGGAGGAGGAGGAGGAGGGGTGGGAGGGGCGGGGGCACGCGGAGGAGGGCGGGGGGGGGAGCGGGTATGGGGGCGAGGGAGCGGATGGGGGCGCGGGCGCACGTACGCAGGGGGTGCGACAGCGGCAGAGAAGGAAGGCCGCGCGCAGGACGGAGGCGACCAGGGCCCGCGGGAAGGCGGCGAGCCCGAGGTATGCGAGGAGTGGCCGGAGGCTGGAGTCGACGAGAGCAGAACTGAAAGAGGATAGTGAGGGGGAGTACGTAGGAGAAGAAGGACGAGAACGGGAAGAGGAACGAGAGAAGGAAATGGAGGGGGATGCGCTGGAGGAGGAGATGGCTGAAGAGTTTTCATTGACATGTCCGAGCAGTCTGGTATGGTCGAGCTGCAAGCAGCCAGCCGAACGTGGCGGGGGGGGGGCACGGCGGGATGGGGGGGGGCGGGACGGCAGCTTCCTGAATGAGGCATGCGGCCAAGGATGGAAGATGGGCGAAGGAGGAGGACGAGGATGAGGATGAGGATGAGGATGAGGATGAGGATTAGGGTGAGGATGAGGATGAGGATGAGGATGAGGATGAGGATGAGGATGATGATGATGATGATGATGATGATGATGATGATGATGATGATGATGATGATGATGATGATGATGATGATGATGAGGATGAGGATAAGGATGAGGAGGAGAAGGAGAAGGGGGAAGGGCGGAAGGAGGAAGAGTGGGGAGGGAAAACTGTACTAGCAAATGTTCACTCCCGTCACGAGGGGGCCGCTTCCGATAGTTTTAAAGCTTCTTTTTGGGACGTTCGAGGTTGGATGACTTTTGTAAGAGAACTCGTCAAGACAACAATTTCGTACAACCAGCACGCGCTCCAAGGGCCGATACCAGGGAATGGAGAAATGGTGCGGAGGGGGCTGGAGGGAAAGGAAGACGATGAGGAACATGCGGGATAATGATAAGGACGATGAGGGTACCAACTTGTACACTGCACAGGATGGGGGGATTGGAGTGGGGGAATCGGGAGCGAATGCGCTTCTCGAAGAAAGCGAGCAGGTGAGGATAAGTGACCAGCGTAGAAGGAGGAATGGCATGGAGGAGTGAGAGAATGGAAACGTGAGACCCGGAGCACGCGTGCAGCTGGTGAGCAGGAAGGCGATGCGCAAAAAGAGAACGCGGATGGGAGAGGGACGGATGACGGGTAGAGACCGAGCACTGAGGTAGGACGCCGTGCGTCTGCCACAGCATGGGCAAATGCGCTGGGCCAACAAGCAACGTGTTGGCATGGACGTTTTGAGCACGGCTCGCGTTGCGTTGCAAAACGGGCGCGTCGAGGCAGCTGAGATGGGGAGGCACAAGCGCGATGAGCACGGGCAAGCAGGCCAGAAGGACTGCAACCAAGAGGGCAGATGCGGCTCAAGGGCCGGTTCTCTGAGCCGTCAGGAGCGCCCTGGGGCAGTGGCCCCTCTTGCATGCAGTATTTCCCTCCCTCGCCTCCCTGTTTCTCGTCCCTTCCCTCACCTCCCTTCCTCCCCAGAGCCCCTCGCGCTGTGACAAACATCACGACGAGAAACTTTACGACCTCCGGGGGCCCTCACCGGGCCTCGGGAGCGCCAACAGAAGACTCAGGATGAAAAAAAAGGTCCCCGGGAACGGGTCCAGACTTCTGAGGGGCACGTCATGCTTCCCCCTCCCCCTTGCCTCTCATCCCTCCGTGCCACTTTTCCTGCATTCCTGTCTCTCTCCTTGCCCACTTCCCTCCCTGCCTCCCGCTTCCTCCTCTACGGCGAAGACAAGACGAGGATAACATTGTGTGACGATAAATCGAGCATCCTTGAGAACCACCGGCTCTGGAAAATGTCTCGGACGCCGCGGACCGCTCTGAGAGCGTTGCGGAACGCTCTGGAACGGATTGATCCTCGTCCTAGCGCCGCCTGGTTCCTCCAGTTTCCCCCTCTCCCCTGCCTCTCATCACTGCGTGCCTGTACCTACTCCTCCTTCATTCCTGCCCCTCTCCTTCTCCGCTTCCCACCGCAGTGGACGGGGCGAGAGTGGCCGCGGATAGTATCGGAAAGCAAGCGGGTCAGGGAAAGGCACGCAGCGAAGTTCAGGCATGACGTGGGCGCGAATTACTGGGGGGCGATACGCCGGGGGGGGGGGGAAGAAGGGTGCCCCCTTCGGGCCCTAAAGGCCCCCTTCTGGGCCCGATAGGGCCCCCGTAAGGATCCTCATGAGGGCTCCTCTTCTGCAGCCCTCGCCGCCCCCCGTTTCTATCGCCCCTCCGTTACGCGGCCTCCGAATGATGAGGCAGGTGTCTTGGCCGGGCGGAGCCACTCTTGCTGGTCCCGGATCTTGACGAGGCGCACGCAAGCTTTTGGCGTTCGCACCTCGGCGCGGGAGGGGAAGGGCCGCTCCACCAGGCAGATGAAGAGGAGGAGACGCAGAAGTATGAGAGGTAGGAGTAGGAGACTGGGGGTGGAAGAGGGGACCGAAAACAAGAAAGAAGAATACATAAGATGTGGACAAGCAAGGTTATGAGGATGTGCACCCGCTTGCTTATGGGTCATGTAGGGATGTCATGCGCTCGGGATAGCATCAGCATCTGCACCAGTGGGGGAAAGAATGGGAGGAGAGCGGAGGGATAGGCAAGTGAAGGGGGAGGGGTAAGACATGTAGATTCTGCCCCAGACATCCTCCTCGTCCGCCACCTCCCGACCCTCCTGCTGTTGCTTCTCGTCCTCCAGCGTCGGGCAACAATAGCTGAGCGAGGAAGAGGCACATCTTAATGGAAAGGATGGGAAAAACCATTGCGAGCTCGAGTCACGACGCTACCGGGAATCCGCATGGCGCGAGGTTAGCGGCTGGCGAGTAATGGGGAACTTGGGAACTTCGCTTCCTAGGGCGGGCTTGCAGCAACGCAATACCTGCATGCGTCTTCGAACATGACCATTGGAATCGTTCCATGTGGGCACAGCACGCCCAACAAGTTACTCCCCCTCGTGCCATGATGTTCTCGCAATGCCGACTGAAGCCGCCCGACTTCCGACATTGCCGACAGAAGCTAATTCCTGGATCCGAAAGGGTTGTGAGTGGAAGACTTATTTGAGAGAACAGCCTAGAAGGGAGAGAAAACGACTTCGCTCACCGAGACGCCCCGACTTCGCCCACGCCCAAATGCTCAACTCAACACTCCGCATGCACGCGCCATCATTGCAGCCGGCATGCGCGTACCTTCTACACCTCATGGGCGTACGATACCTACATAATGTCCCTCAAATGGGTGATGACTGCGACGTTGGAGAACTGACAAGAAGGCCACAGAGGTAGAATTCACAGTAAAGGGAGCCTCTACTGCGTCCATCAGCGAAAAAACATGGTAAGGCTCCTGCGGCAGACCATCGCATGCCCACCGAGAGGATGAATACTATGATGCGCGAGAGGCGGAGACGGGGGCATATGTCCTGCGGTGGAATCCAGCAGCCTTCAGATAGACGAACCAACCAATTCGATATGGCAAACATGCCATCGCTGCTTCATGGCGACACCAGCGCGCATGCGGTGCACATTGGGTGCTTGCGCATCAAAGCGACGTCAGACCACTGTGTCAGATCACCGTGCGCGCACGTGAGTTCTGGCTTCGAGTAATGAGCTTGTCAACCAGTCTGCGCGCGCGTGCCCACCTCCATCTCCGCTGCCCCTCGCCATGCCCAATCGCATCACCTCCGTCGCTCCCCAAAGTGAGATTGCTCTCTCTCTCTCTCTCTCCCCCTCTCTTTCTCTCTCTCTCTCTCTCTTACTCTGATTCTCTCTCTCTCTCTCTCTCTTTCTCAGGGGTCGCACTACAACATGTGTGTTCGCTGTCGTATTGTTCTCGCTCTCCCTCGTCTTGTCTTCAATCCGCCTTAGCTGCAAAATGAAGTCGAAACGTCAACGGCCCACGAAATCGCAAAACCACGGTTTAGGTCGACCCCTGCTCTCTCTCCCTCTCCCTCTCTCTGTCCGCAAGAGCCTTAGCTCTCACGCCTCGCTCTGCTGCTACTGCTGGCCCAGCTGCTTCTATTGCGGATCGTTGTGTGCTTCTCCCGTTGATACTGCTTCTGCTGCTGCTCACTCGTGTTCTTGATTATGCTTGCCTTCGCAAGCGCCATCCTCAGCGCCCTTCCCCGAGCCCAAGTCTTTGACTCGAACTCTGCCACCCTCTGCGCGGGGCTCCAGCGATTTCGACTCGCGGGTCGAGCAAGTCGTCAAGAAGCCAGCGTCCTGGGCTGGGTTGGCGGTCCCCTCTGGAATACGGCTCCCAAACCAGCCCCGTCCTCTTACTTCTGGCCCTCTACCTCATCCGCCAACGTGCCTCTGGGCACGGAGTGGGCGTGCCCTCAGGTCCTTTGCCTACCCGCCCAAGCCTCAGCCCTCAAGCCTCAAGCCTCAATCCTCAAACCTCCGTCCTCATTCCCGAGGAGTCTCTTAAGGGCCTCCGGACTCCGCACCCCAACTTGCCAAATCTACCTGGGCTTGCCCCGTCGCGTCGAGGATCTGGCGCATCTCCCCGCACGTCGTTGTGGGGCACAAGGCGGCCCCAAGACGGACCAACAGAGCCCCAAGAGGATCCAAGAGGGCCCAGAGACGCCCACAGATCGCTTCAAGACGCTCAAGATGAGCCCACAGACGGCCCAAGAAGCCTCCAAGGCGCTCCAAGAGGTCCCCCCAAGAGGGCTCCAAGAGGCACAGACCACTGATTTCTAATTTTGGGTTTCTGAGAGTTGTTTGGCGTTCTCGTCTTTTCGGCTTCCCGACGCTCTAAGACGGCCCAAGATGCGCCACAAATCTCCTCAAGACGGCCGAAAGGCCTAGAACGGCCCAAGAGGGCCCCAAGACGGCGCACGAGGCGCCGAAGACAGCCCCCAAAAGACTGCTCCAACAGGGGGCCAAGATGGGGGACCCGAACGGACATTTCAAGCCCTCGGCCCCGAGGGGCCCCAGGAGGCCCCCAAGAGGCCCCAAGAGGCCCTACAGAGGCCCTACGAGGCCCCCAAGAGGAGGCGCCCAAGAGGCCCCAAGAGGCCCTACAGAGGCCTTACGAGGCCCCCAAGAGGCCCCCAAGAGGCTTCCAAGAGGCTCCCAAGAGGCCCCCAAATTGCCCCCTAGAGGCCCCCGAGAGCGCTCTGAGAACTCCGAACCACAGCAAACTTGACGGATGCGAATGGCACTTCTGCCACGTAATGCATGCATTGATGCTATGAGAGATCTCTGGGGCTAAGCATAGAAATCGGGTCAGCTACGGCTTCATATTTCCATACGCAGGCCGCGACTAACTCGTTTAAAGCAAGTCATGCGTGGCTCCACGTTGCGCATTCCAAGAGAGAGAGGGAGAGAGAGAGAACGTAGGCTGTCAGTTCTGGTGCACGATATCGCCATAGGCTCATCAAATTAATGATCGTACTGCCCACAAAAATCCAGTATTTCGTATTCGTTGCCCCAAAGTGCAGATTCGAATGCGGATGAAATCGGAAATCAGCGAGCGAAAACAAGAGCAAAACATGGCAGCCTTGCTTTGGAGCTCGAGCGATCATGGAGCTACAACCCACAGTCTATCTGCATCAGCGGACGCAGATTTTGCGAGTGGCTGTCGAGATACGATGTCAACCATTCTTTTTCGCAGGACCTCGACGACAATGGTGCACCACTGAACTTCGCCGAAAACAATGACCACATCATGGAATATAAAGTTGTGTGCACAGACTAGGCGTTGAAAACGCGCGAGCGATTGAACATGACAAGCTCGACTTCGGCAGTTTGTTCACCACTCTCTCTTCTCTAGTCATCGTTCTCTCTTCCTCTAGTCCTGCAGCTCCTCGTTCTCTCTCCTTCTCCTCCTCATGCCTCCTGTCGCCTCCTTTCCCTGCCCTCAAAGAGTCCCCCTCGTCCTCTTCTCTCTTCCCCCAGGGCGGCCAAGCATGAACTTGTCACACCTCTGCTGCGCCCTGGGTGTCCAACAGGGTGCGGTCTTGCACAAGCGCTCACGAGACCTCGCACTCCCACGAAGCCGGCCAGGGCCTAAAGCGTGCCATTGCTGCGCCCCCAGGGTCCAGCAGACTGTAGTCTTACGCAGACCAGACCAGGACATCGCGCTCCCTGCGGGCCACCATCATAACTGCCCCAATACGCAACACGCAACACGAAGCGTGTTGACTCGGAGCTCAACGCGTAGACTAGTGACTGGACTGAAAACGTAGGCCTGGCGCGATACGCTGGCCAAGACGTGGACCAACACGTGCCGAGCTGCCGCCACGTAGCGTGCCAGCACGGAAGTCTTGAGCACGGCACGTGCGGCGCTTCAGCACGGGCGCAGCAGGGCAGCGAAGGCTGCCGTGCACGCCGCCGTCGCAGCTCTGCTGCGCACGGGGTGGGGGTGGGCGGGCCCAGCGGAGAGCGGCCTCACGGCGCGAGCCAAAGACGATCCTCGCCGATGCTGCCGCCAGAGGCTGCCAAGCCTGCAGCTGCCGCCACTCTGCTGCCCCCCCGTTTCGTGTGTGGGGGCATCAATCGCAGTGCGGTTCTACGATTGTGGATGCCACTGCAATGGACACCCTCACGCTCCTATCACTGAATTCAACATGTGTTTAGGATGCATGATTATTGCAACTGTGCCATGCATGTTTTTTCAGGTTTGAGACATGTTTCAACCATGGTTTAGACATCTTGGAATTATTTGGCAACATGCTTCCTCTCCATTGATCGTCGTCCACAATTCAACGTGCACCCAAGGGACCTTCTTAATATTTGTCTGCGGAAGCCTGGGTCCTCGGGTAGGGGCGAGGTGACGGCCGATGGCCTACACCCCTGCTTCGAATTACCATTTTTTTTTGATACGAACATGGGCTTCACTCGAGACGTTACCTCGACCAGGAGCCCAGGCCTAGCTCTACGGGCATTTTGCGAAAGAAGTAAAGCTCCAAGAAGATGACCAGCGTCCAGTCCGGCTTCTTGACTCTCTGAAGCGGATTTGGAATCCATGGAAATTGATGTGTTCTTGAAATGTGTAGCCTTTCCGCTTTGGGCGACCCGACGGGTGCCTACGCTATGGGCAAAGTCAGGTTATCTGGGAGGAGGGTGGGGGGCAGGCTGGTCCGATAACCCTGGTTATCGCCGATCCCTACAACAACAATCCCTAAATGAGACCTCGCCTTCCTTGGCGACTGCCTCGCGAGCAACTGTCGCAGCGCTCTGGAGGAGTCCAGGCATATACGGTCTTACGCAGACCCAGGCGAAACTTTGCTATCCCTGTGGGCTGTGGGTTGCTGGGCGTGCAGCTGTCGCCGCTTTCCAGCGCAGTGCGGTCTTGCGGCGTCGCCATCCCTGGGCCACTTTAGCGGTGCCACTGGGGCGCGCCTTCTATGAGGAGGAGGAGGAAGAGGAGGAAGACAAGGAGGCGGAGAGGGGGGAAGGAGGAGGAGGAGGAGGAGGACGATGAGGAGGAGGAGGAGGAGGAGGAGGAGGAGGAGGAGGAGTCCTTGGATGCTGCCAAGCGTGCACCTCCCACCACTCTGCTGCTTCCGTCGGGGTCCGGCAGGCGCGCCCCCTCGAGGGGGTCCGAGTGATTCCTCGCCGCCCTGGCTGCCGCCCAGCGTCTTGATCGGGTTGGTTGCGTCTTTAGTTTCGCTGCCATTGCTCGACCACTGTGTCCACACTATCAAGCCTGGTGCAAGCCCGCCAAGGCTCCCACATCTGCCATGCTGGAGGCGTCCTGCACTCAGACGAACACATATCGACACAGTGCGACCGGCTCATGCTCGGTTGCCTTGTGGAAGTGCGCGACGAGTAACCTGCCACATGCTCAGAAGGCTCGTGACCCGAGGTGCGAGCAGCGCTGAATGCAACACAGTCGGCACCGCCAGCATGACTTTAGCAGTGGAGGCCCTGGAATCGCCCGCGGATGCCATGGGCCTCGGTGGAATCGGGCGAAAGTGGGTCTCAAAATCTCGCACGAGCGGATTTCGACGCGCAAGAAACGCACGGCCTGAGAAATGATGGGAGGGACCTCAATTTGAGGCAACACGTCAAGTATTCGTGACTGCCTGGACGATTGCGGTTCTGATCTTGCCGATTGTGACAATGACGAGGTGCGGATTGCGATAAATATGGACAAGGGTACATACGGAGACATCCCAGACGGAGCCGAGAACGAGGACGTTGACTGACGATGCTGGCTGGAGATAGATTGCTGATGGTGGCGACCCAGACATCCGGCTCCGATTTTTTCGACGCGTGGCCCCCAGAGGTCTGGACCACTTCCCCGGGGCCGGCTTTTCGTCCCGAGTCGTTGTTTGACGGTCCCGAGTTCCGGCGAGGGCCCCCAGAGGCACAACACAGCTCAAAACCGCCCGCTCCAGTCTTTGTTGGAGCGTCGGACCTCTGGGGAGTGGTTCCTGAGGGTGAGGGGAACGCGGTTCTCATCGGGAGAAGGAGCAGAGCAGTATCCGGAGCAGAGGCAGCGTAGGGGGGCGCAGAGGAATCTCGGACGCAGGAGCAGGAGCCGCGGCGGGACAGCGGGAACGGGACCAGTGAAGGGGCCCAAGGACACACACACACACACGAATACACACAGATCCCAGGATCCCCCATCTGTTTTCCATATTCTCTGGAGTGTCGTCTTCTCGCCCACGTCCCAGATCTTCCCGTGATATTATTTTCCTGGGCTTCGACGATTCAATGTGTCTGTGTTTGTCCTCCCCTCCTGAATCAGGAGGACGAGCAGGAAGCTGCAGGAGGGCAAGAGGCGGGAGTAGAGGGAGCAGTCAGGAGTTTGGAGTCAACCCAGAGCCCTGATGCGGGCTCGAGTATCGGCGGCGAGCGATGGGGGGAAGTGAGGAGGAGAAGGCCTTCTTAGAAGGTTCGGAAGTCCCCCGGCCTTCCGGGAAGTTGTCTAAGCCTTCCCCGAAGACACAACAACAGAACTTCTCGGAAGGCGCGAGGGCTTCTGAGGAGTCCCGCCGCCTTCTGAGGAGGCCTTCTCCTTCTCACTTCCCCCCCGGCCGCGCCGCCGAATTTGATATTTTTGGGTCATGGCTCGGGCCTCCGGCGGCCGTTCGGGACGATCGGGGCACCCCCGGGAGCGCCCTCGGCGAGGCGCAGCGGCTGGCAAAAACACCCCGAGGCCAGGAAGCCGCCGAGAACCGACGGAGGCGTCCGAAGATCTCGAGCCTCGGACTTCGACCCCGACACTTCTTCCCCCGTCGCCCGCCGCCGAGAGCGACAGGGGCGCGCCCCTGCTCCAGGCGGCAGAGGTGGGCCTGGAGGTCCAACGAGTCCGCACACAGAGGCCGAGGTTCGAAGGCAGAGGGCGCCAGCGCCGCGATCGCGGCTGGCCCGACAAGAGGCTCGACATCTGCCAGCAGCGTCGCCTGAGTCAGCCCAGAGGATGAGAGAGTTTCGGGCGTCGGCAGAACTGGGTTTGAAGTGGGACCTGGTTCAGTGATGTGTACTGGGGGGCGCCCCCCACCACCGCCCCGTTCCACTAACCAGAACTGCCGTCACCCCAAAAAAACACCAGCTGCGGCAGACCTGGTGTAGTGACTCCAGCCAATTTAGGGGCTCCATGGCCCTACCACTAACTGGGTCCCCTTTACCTGGGGTCCTGGCTATACCCGAGAGTTCGAGGCGGCGGGGGGGTCTGAGCTGGTTGAGTTCCGAGAAAGCTGGTCATGAAGAGTGGTGAAGGCAACTTCGCTCAAAATCGGTCTCCGGACCCCTCCCAGGGTTCATCTGGTGCAATGTTTCATCCCGGGTCAGTTTTTGATGGTCCGGGGATCCGAAAGCGTCCCCTGGAGACCGAAAAGAGCAAAACAAAAACTCCTCGCACCCAACACCTTGAACCTCGCCCTCTCCTTCCTGCTCGCCGGATCCAATGCTGCTACACCTCAGAGCTCTCTCAGCTGGCTACAAGAGGAGAGCACTGGGGAAACCAAAAGGTACCCGTACTGCTACTCCCTGGACCTCTCCTGGGGTGCGTTCTGACCAGGATTTCGAAGCGAATCCAGCGGTGGCGACGAGGGCCGCCCAGTGGGCCGCCCAGTGGGCCCCATGAAAGGAAAAACGAGAGAAAGGTCGCGGTATGGGTGCCTTCTCCTCTTCCCCAGACATCCGGCTGCTCCAATCTTTCCGATGCGTGGCCCCCAGAGGAACGGAGCACTTCCCTGAGGTGGGTTTGCGTCCCGAGTCGTTTTTGTTGACGGTCCCGAGGCCCGGCGAGGGCCCCCGGAGGCCCAAAACCGCCCGCCGCAATTTTTGTTGGAGCGTCGGATCTCTGGGCCTGCCTCCGAAGGGCGTCCGTGGAGGAGAGCAGAGACGCCTCCCTGGGAACGCGTCTGCTTGGAAGCTCTGCCCTGCACGGGAGCGGGAAGAGGAGAGAGAAGGGAGAGAGGGAACGACCCGCCACCCGGGCGTTCCCCGGGAGCCCCCCCAGCCTCCTCGGCAAGGGGACGGAGGGAGAGGGCTAGGGGAACAAAAAATGACATAAACATAAAAACTCGGGGGTCCGCGCGGATTTCTCGGATCCGCGCTGGGGCCCCCCTGGCGGCGCCTCCAGCGCCGCCCCTGGCGCGCTCCGCGCGCCAGGGAGGGGGGTCCACGCCGATCCGAGAAATCCGCGCGGACCTCAGAGTTTTTGTGTTTATGCCACTTTTTGTTACCCTAAGGGCGTCCTTGGAGGAGAGCAGGGACGCCCAGAACATGTTGGGCTCGAAGTCCTTGCGGTTGAGCCGGATCCTGTGCGGGGCCCTGCCGCCCCCCCCCCGCCGTGGCCGCGCGCTGCCCGCCGCCTCCCGCCCGCCTCCCCCGGGCCCTTGCCTCTTCTGCCGGCGGTGGACGAGCCTCCCTTTAGTAAACCTCCCTTCGGTGAGAACGGCCTAGGATTAGGTCGGGCCTGTCCCCCTGCAGGACGATTTTGAACGAAAAGTTAAGCATACCCAGAAAATGCCCCAAAAATGTTCAGAAATGGTCAAACAATATTCCCCATACTATTTTTTGACCATTTTTGAATATCCGCCGATCCGGCGTGTGAGTTTCAAGGAGTCTCAGCTACAGCCTCGAGGCTGAGCCTCAGCCTCTGGGGGGGCTGCCGGGGTGGCTCTGCTGGGGAAGGGTGGGTGGGTGGGGGGGGGGGGTGCGAGTTTCCGGCGGATGCGTTTTTTGACACCCCTCACAAGGATCGTGGCCTCCGATGGGGTTCCGAACTCGAGTACCACCCCTCCCGCACCAAGAGGCTCCGAGGAGGCCTCCAAGAGGCCCCAAGGGGCGCAGAAGATGCCCCCAAGAAGCCCCAAGAGGCTCCCAAGAGACCCCCAAGAGGCCCTCTAGTGGCCCCAAGAGGCCCAAGAGGCCCCCAAGAAGCCCCAAGATGCGCCCAAGAGGCCCCCAGAAGTCCCAGCCAACCACGAGATCCCAACCAGCATCCATGAGGCCTCTGACCCACCACCCACGCACGGTGGCGGGATAGGCCGACGGCCACTGGATAAATGCTGAGTGAGAGGAGGGGAGGGAAAAAGAGAGGAGGGACGAGGGCGAAGAAGGATCACATCAGTCGGAACGCCCCGGATCGGCGGCACTGGCCGAAGGCCACTACAATACTCCCTGTAGAGGGACAGGCCCGACTGAAGCCTAGGACCGACACCGACGGACCTGGACCGGCAAAGATGACGGCCGCGACGCCCTCTCGCGAACCGAAAGCGGCCAATTGGCGAATCCACGTGTCATGGCAGGAGGTCTATCAACCTCCGATCCTGGGCCTTCTGAAAAGTTTTCCGCGTCTTCGGGGGAGTGTTAGGATTAAGTCGGGCGTGTCCCCCCACAGGCGGATTTTGGACGACAAATTAATAAACATACTCTAATCAAAAAATATCCAAGATGGTTCAAAAATGCTAGAAAAATCGTCCCCAGGCTATTTCCTGACTATTTTTGAATTTTCCTTCTGTAGAGGGACACGCCCGACTTAAGGTTAGGAACAACTCAGAAGGCCAGGGGACTTCCGAGCCTTCTTCTCACTTCCCCCCCTCGCTCGCCGCCGAATTTTGGCTGCTCATTCTGGAGACCTTCCTGCAGCCACTCGCCACATTCGTGCGTCGACGCTGCGTCGAATGTCCGTCGATTCGAGTCGACCTTGAGTCGAACCTGATCCGAACCTGAATCGAACTTGAGTCGACCTTGAATCGAACTGTGGTCAAACCAGAGCCGAACACATCCGTGAGGTGGGCCCCAGACAGGTCCCCCAAAACGAGCATCTCACGAGCTTCGCTCGCACCCTGGCACAAGGGGGGGAGGAGAGACGGATAAGGCTTCCAGACAAAAAACAGAAACGACCATAATAACAAAAACAACAACAAACCAGAAACAACAACAACAACAACAACAATACCAACGTGTGTTTTAGGGCTGTCCTGCTTGTTTTTGTTGTTTGTATTGTTTTTGTTTTTTTTGTTTTTGTTTTTGTTGTGGTTGCGGTTGTGGTTGTGGTTGTGGTTGTTGTTGGTGTTGGTGTTGTTGTTGTTGTTGTTGCTGTTGTTGCTGTTGTTGTTGCTGTTGCTGTTGCTGTTGCTGTTGTTGTTGTAGTTGTAGTTGTAGTTGTAGTAGTCGTAGTCGTAGTCGTAGTAGTAGTAGTAGTAGTAGTAGTAGTAGTAGTAGTAGTAGTAGTAGTAGTAGTAGTAGTAAATAGTAGTACACGTAGTAGTAGTAGTTATAGATAGAAGTACTAGTAGTATAGAAGAAGTAGTTGTAGTGTTTGTTGCAGTTTGTTGTTGTTGATGTTGTTGTTGTTGAACATTATTACTTCTAAAGAATAATTATTGTTGGGGCCCCTGGTGCACGACCCCCCCGCCGCGCCTAGGCCGCAGCCTCATTTTCATCATTTTCTTGAGGAAGTCTCAGGCAAAACGGGTTGGTCCGGATCCGGTTGTGTTGTTACGATCGGTTTTCCCTTGCAAAAAATAAGCTAAAGTGGACATTTCTTGTTCTAACATAACCAAACTTCAAGAATCCCTTGCAAAAAATAAGGTAAAGAGGACATTCGCGCGCGCAAGACGAAATCCTTCCAAAACCTTAGTGTTCGCAGCGATTTTAACATAAAAACATCAAAAAAACAATGGTTTTTCAACAAAAAAATGTCAAAATCTCATCCCGCGCGCTCTTGCGGTTTCGTAGGAAACCCAACACTTTTTAAACATTTCTGTCAAACGGGCTTTTGCGAGCAACTTTTTCGAACTTCTGCGACAACGGTTGCGCACCTGCCAGGGCCATCATCCCTGTCAAATAATACCATGAGGGACACATTCGTTTTTTCTTCGCGCGCGCACGCCGTCGTCGTCGGCCGCGGGTCCCTGAATAGTAGCCACGGTCGTCCGCATGCCACGAAGTGAAGTGTCCGAACGTCATAGGGCGGGAAGCTGGGTGTGGGTGGTGGCGAAGAGTCGTTTGGAAAATTGGTATAGCTTGAACCGGCCCCCCCACAAAGTGGGGGTATTGCCCGCCTCCTATGAAAACCCTGGCACTGGTGAGAACGGAGTGTCCCCAGTCTTAAATGATTGTTGTTGTTGTTGTTGTTGTTGTTGTTGTTGTATGTGTGTGTT